TACTACAAGTCACAAGGCTTAACTAATGAAGCTGATGTGATGTCAGTGATATCGTTATTTATAGGATTTTGACAAACCTTCAGCTATCAACGGATTGTAAATCTTTATTGACTACTGTTTGAATCGGATCAAACATGGCAGATTGTTTAAGTCCGCTTCTGCATGTACGTTGTGCCTAAGAGAATAAACTCTCTTAGACTTTGGTACTTATGATATTGAATGATAGGCTTTATTATTTATAATGGGAACGATACTACCCGACGAGTGTGTTAGACGTTAAACTTATCTCTAATAAGGCGATTGAGATAATGTCCCCCACGTATAAAATAATGAATTTAAAATGTTGATGTGTTACGTCTTTTGGTAAAAAGGATGAACCCGACACTGGAGGGAAGAATTTATATTTCTATCTTTCTTGTTTCTTTTTTTTTGGTTAGAGATGAAATTCGAATATGGAGAGCAAGAATTTTATATTCTATCTCCTGGTGCCAAAGAAACTCAAAGTTGAGATCTCCAACTTTCAAGAATCTGAAGGGTCCGTGAAAAACTAAGAGTGCGGATGAATTTCACTCTGAGAATCGAGAAGGATTTTAGGATAACCTAACTGTTAAAAGGTTTAATTATCCAATCCAATAAGTGCGATTTTCTCATCTTATTGAGATGGATAATTCTAACTTTCGTCCTAATTGTTTAAATGTTTGACGTGGAGCTGCGCCGGAATTGTGTAGACCTCTCGTTCATAGAAGAATCGAGATGGAGATTTTTGTTTTTGACCTAATTATTTTAAAGGTTCTGACCAAATTATAATTGAGATGTCCTAACTGTTTAAGAATTGATCGCTTCATTTGCTGGCGACCTCTCGTTCATGGAATGGACCTCGAGAGCGGGATTTTGGTTTCCTATTCTAACTATTTAACCAGGTTCTGGACATAATGCAGTACTTTGAGACGATCCTCTAACTGTTTAAAGGTTTGTATCCGTGTTCAATATTTGTGGACTCTCTCGTTCTCATGGAAGGAGATTTTCGTCTCGCACGTGAGGCCGATTTTGAGTTTTGCCTTGCCTAACCTTGCTGAAAAAAATTCAAATGTTTAAAGTGTGCTTTGATCAAATCGGATGTTGATGAGTACGATCCTAGCTGGTTAAAGGGTTGATACATTCAATCTGTATGCGCACTCGCTCCGTTCATCGGCCGAAGGAATGGAGAAGAGAGTTTTTTGACTTCTGGCACCTTATACATGTTTCATGAACGTGGCTTTTGACCAGCATGTTAGGATGTTTGAGCATGCACTCATACGTGTTATACGAGATAGTTTTTTGAGTCGTCAATTTTGATGAATCTCTCCTCGTTCTATTTAGTCTCGGATGAAGAGTCGTACGAGGTATGATTTTGCGTTTTGGGTGCCTTAACTTTACGTGCTTTATATAAGATTGGTTGAGGTCCCCATAATTGGTGGAGTTTGAGACGTAGTTCTTAAGCATCTGACAACAAGCGGTGACTCGTTCGAATTTCGTGAAATGTAACCTTTTTTACTTTTACATTTTATGAATCTTAAAATTACAAAATAGCATTTTTTATATCAGTCCCTTAAATCATTAATATTTTAAAATTAATCCGTCAAATCGATGAAATTGCTACTAGGTCCCCAAAATATTGCAAGTTGTTTCAAGATTAGTGTATTATTCATTAAATCGCTATCGAGTGCACCATTATTACAAGGTATTTCAAGTTAATCCTTCCAAGCAAGAGTAGTACTAGAAAGTAAAGAACTAGTACAACTGGAAGATATCAAAATGGGGGTCAAATAGCAATAAGTTTTACAATTTGAGGGACTAGTTTCAAAATATCAAAGACGTAAGAGACTAATATCGGAAAAGCCACAGAAAGTATAGTATCTCCGAGAGTTTTTTCTGCAAAACGTCATTAAGATATCCAAACCAACTCGTGAAGGGTGGGTCCCACACTTCGGATGTGAGGTTTGCTTTCATTTGGAGGTGTTTGGCAATTTAAAAGTGAATTTAAAATATGTAAGTTATTTTTTTTGCAAATGACTTTTACATCCATGTTAGCACCCAAGTGAAATACAGTGTTTGTTTGAAAAATTAAATTATTATCGAAAGTGCAATGTGAAGATGACGTGGCAATTATTATCGAAAGTGCAATGTGAAGATGACGTGGCAAAATAAGATTAATTAGAAAATATAATTAAAATCATTTAATTGATGACGTGGCAAAATAAGATTAATTAGAAAATATAATTAAAATCATTTAATTAAATTAGTTATATTTTTGTCACTTTCATGTGACTTCACCACTTTTAAAGGGGAAGTCAAAATTACATTAAATCATATGTGTCAACTTTCTTGCATCTCATTTTTATAACTACTTACATGCAAACAAACACCTAAATTGTTAAATGAAAGTAACTTTCTCACTTTTATCTTTCACTTGCATGCAAACAAACACCCCCCAAGCTTTGGAAAATCTATATAAAACTTACTATTCTATCCAAACCGAAAGAGTCGAAAGACTACGGGTCAGTTTATTATTTCTGATGTTTATAATAAGTGACTTATAATAGCAGCTTATAGAAGCAACTTATATAAATTATTGAAAATAGTTATTTGTCAATTAAATATTAAAAACTGCTTAAAAAAGGTTAAGGTGCTTAGTAGAACTGTGTTTAATGATCATTGTTCAAATATAAAATGTATATATCATATATAAAGTAAAAAAAAATAGCAGAATCTACTTTAAAAAGTATCCTCAAATTGCTTCCAAAAGTACATCCTTAAAAGCAATAACGATTTTAATAAGCAAGCCAATTTTTTTTACCAAACACCATTATTATTTGCTTCTTAAAAAAATAAGCAAAAACACCATAAAAAAAAGCAATAACAAATTAGCCCTAAATATCCTTATTGCTTCTTTTGTTTATCTTTTACTAATTAATATTGTAGCCTATATATGTTCACCATTTAATAACTAATATTGTAGCATATGTCAAAAAATCTATGGGGGGCTGCCCCTATCTTGCCTCCCTCTAAACTCGTCCCTGTTCACTTGTTGGATCTAGAATGTTAGAAAAATTGTGTCACTATTTAATAATAATTTAAAAGAATTATAATTATTTCCGATGAGTTTTTATATTGGAATAAAGTGTATAATCATAAGTAACACTATCAATACATCTTTCACTATATGTGTCACTAAAAAGTCATTGAGCTGATCATCATTCATTTTATTTTGCAACTTCCTCTTTGTTAACTTTCTTACATAGGAAACTCTTTCGACAATCGCCCTATCTACAAAAAAAAAAAAAAACACTATCATCTTCAAAAGAAAATACATCATATAGATTTTATGCTTTTTAGTCCGTACTTTGTTCTTTGAAATACTATCTATTCCCTTCAAATTTAGCAAACCTTGAATTAGGTAGAGAAGCTATGGCTGAGGATGGGGCATCAAGGTGGAGGAGGTGCTAGCACGCATGGGATCATATGAGCGGGAAAAGATTTAATTGCAGATTCTTTGCTCTAAAACTCAATCATAAAATGACTTTTGAGTTGGGTAAGGTCTTCTAGGAAGTAGAAAATTTTTGGGTGGGTTCCTTTGGTTTTTATTGTGGGGTCATTAGTGGGTTAGGATTTTGAGATTATTGAGCCTTAATCATGGTGGGGTTTCGTTATTCCTCGACCAAAATGGAGTCACGTGACCCCACTTTGGTGAAGGTGGATCAGCCAATGTTGTTGGTGCTATCTCTCCTGCACGCAAAGAGCCCTAACAAACACCTAACTAGAAATTTGAGAAATGCACAATCTTATTTGGAAGCTTATTTCACTACCTCAGCAGACTCCAAGATTTATTGCAAGTAATACGATGGGGTTATTGTAGTTCAACCATTTACAATAATAAATTAATACAATGGGTCATTGCAATTTAACCGTCTTGGTACTCCAAAAAAAGAGTTTTAGAAGTACCACTGGCATAAGTCATAATTGATCCCTGTAAATTACGCTCTCAGCATTCCGATTAATATGGTCCCCATCAAAAAATGAGTCGCACGGCCTTTTTTTTTTGTAACGGGTTATTGTAATTTCACAATTTTCGTTGCGGGGTGAGGTCCAATATCCCAGTAATGAGAAATAAACAATTAGCATATTGTTTCTAAACTTCTTTTTCTATTGTTTCACACTCATAATTAACTCGAGTGAAACTACACATCCGAAATAACCAAGAATTTCTGAAACTTGCTAATTTAATTAGGCTTTACTCTAAATTAAATTTTGGATGGTAGTTGTGACCCACACTTATTTAGATAGAAAATGTTTGCTTTGTTGATGGCTGATCTCCTTCAACTGTGCTTGGTGGCAGAGAATGACGACCAGCCCATGGTCGTTGTCAATGGTGGGATGATCTTTGTGGAGAGAGATCCCGAAATCATTCTGAAGCAATGACGTTCGAAGGAGGAGATAGTTTAGACATTTGCCTTATTACCCTTTAAAAAATAAATACAAAAGTAATAAATAATGAATGCCTATGTTTGGAGTACCTAAGGATCAGTTTGGTAAACAGAGCAAAATTAGGCCCGGTCCTAGCTAGTTTTTTATTAACTAGTTTTGTTTTGGACCAGACTCCCGTGGTTCAAAGCAAAACTAGTTTAGTGATCCTATTTAGGCATAAAAAAATGAGAGGCACTAGAGACACACTCTCCACCATGTCTCCAACCACACCTCCCCTCCTGCTATAGTGCACCGGGGCCCACTTGAGATTTAAAATTTAAATCTTAAGTAGACCTCGGTGCACTGTAGCAAGAGGGAAGGTGTGATTAAAAGTATGATGGAGAGTATGCCTCTATCATTTCTCTAAAAAAATAGGATCAAATCTAGCCTACAATTTTAATAAATAAGAAATAACACAAAATTAAGCCAGGTTGAGTCCTCCTGACTCAACTAACCGCTTAAAAATAGCCAGGATTAAGAAAAGCTATATATAAAGAGACGAAAAGATTGGATAAACCTCTTTCTCTTTCTAAGTTCGAAAGCTCCGTTCCAATTCCAATCTTAATCGCATCATTTTTTTAGGACAGATGTCGGATCGCGTCACCGATCAAATCGGAACCATAGTTCGCAGGATCTCGCAAACCCTAAACCGCAAGGTCTCAGAGATCGTCGTCCTTCTCTTCAATCACAAGGTATCAAAAACCCTAACCTATTCTTCAATCAATCGATCCATCCCCCCAAATTTCCTAGAAATTTCTTTGTGTTTCAGCACTCTGGAACGTTTGGAGCCCTCGCTGGGTTCGCCATCGCCGTAATTTTCACATGGAGGTTCATGAAACCGGCGCCGGCCAGGCCAAGGCGAAACCGGCCAAAACGAGGAGGTGATGAGGGGAATGGAGTGGGTTTGAGCTCGCAAGATTGCTCCTTGGAGTCGAATTTGAAGGATTTGGATGTGGTTAAGTCATCAATTGAGGTGTTTCATCGATTTCCCCCCCAATATTAGATCGTTTTTCTTTGTTTTTTTTATGAATCTCTCTTTTTTTGGGTATAATTTCTACTTTTTTTTTGTAGCTTAATCTTAGGCAGATTGTGAGAAGGAAGCTCAATGGAGGCCGAAAGGTATGTTTCGTAGGGTTTTTCCGCATTTATATTGACATTAACTTGATAATTTGATACCCGAAAGCCCAAGCTTTGTTCCGTTCTTCCCCAAACTCAAAAAACTATATTGGGTATGATAATGGTTTCTTATTCACTTTTCTATTTGATATTCTTGAACAAAATTAAGGTCAACAATTTTGCATTTTGAGTATCGGCTTGTCAAAATAGAACTTCAGGATGTTAAAATCAGAAAAGGGTGAAACTTTGGGGTATTACTGTGCAACTAACCCTTCAGTAGATGAATGAGATATTGTGGAGTTATTACTGATATCCTAATTATGCTTGACATTTACCAAATTGCCTCTCAATGCTCTCATAGGACTTCAGAACATTTAATACTTACTAACAAGTGCTGTCATGCTTTTCGGCATCTAAACATGATGGATATGAATCACTAGGTGTTTTCGCCGAAAGTTGGTCTCATTGTGGAATTCATTATATCTTTGATTGTTTACAATGAATTCAAAAGAGAAGTCTTTTTTATAAGACATCTCTTACACAATAAGAAAAAAATTACAACTTCCTAGAAAATAACACAGAAATTGTTTATCAACTTCTGTTTTTGTGGGAACTTAGCTTGTGCCGGGGGTGCGTTAGCCCGTAGACCACCGATTCACAAGATTCTGATTGAATCACGAAGACTTTCGGATATTCTTCTTCGTTTATCGAAGTAAGAATCTTAAGCGAATATCTTATCGATGTCAGATGTTCACTCTTCCAAAGATCAAGTCAGAGCTTAGATCTTTAGGAATCGCCAAAAGCTTCTTAAAAATGTTTGTGAGGAATGAGGACTCTCTCTCTTGCTCAAATTCATTAAAAGCTCAAGTCTTTCTGCTCTAAACTGTCCTTTTTTGGCTCGTGTATAGGAAGGTATTTTAGCCTCTGGGAGTCATAGCTATTAGAAATAATGTAAAATAACTGATGTTATCTTTCTCCTTTAACGCGGTAGTGGACACTAACGCGGCTAAAGGAGGCAGTTTTTCCGCTTTCATAACCGCTCCCACCATCTTTAATTGTCATTATTTCAACGTTTATGGACGTGATTTCTGCTTGTAACTGCTCCTCCCACGTTCATAAGTGATCCCCAGTAGTTAATAAATCATGTGGGCCGCATAAAACTTAAGAAAACTATCAAAAATGATGTTTTTAGCTTTTCAGTGTGCGCGACAGTCGTAACTGTCGCGCATTGTCACGACAGTTACCACTGCCACACACCTCCGAGACAGTTTGTGCTGTTTCGGGTATTTTAGCTCTAACTTCTTCGTCCGATCTCAGAATCAGGTGATCCAAGATGCGTTGGGAAGCTGACGAAGAGATCTATAATTTTTGTGTTTTGAGTTTCTTCAGATTTAGATCGTATCATGGCTTAAATGTGTAAGACATCTCCACGACAGTTACGACTGTCGCGCACCTCCGAGGCAGTTTGCGTTGTCTAAGGTATTTTGGCTCTAACTCTCTCGTCCGATATCGGAATGAGGTGATCAAAGATGCGTTGGAAAGCTAACGAATAGCTCTACAACTTCCCATAGGCGAGACACTCTCTTTGCTTGCGCGTCACCTTCCACTGGCGCGCCTATGCGCGTCAGTGTACCTTGTCGCGGGTATTCATATTGTTCTTCTATGTTGTTTCACATGTTTCTTTGATTTTTTTGGGTTTTGGATGATCCCTTATGACTTAGATAATGATATTCATTGTCTTTTCTTTATCTTGAGCTGTATTTGGATATCTATAAATATTTTTAGACGCCTACAGATACCCCTTTTCAAAGTATCTCAGACTCATTCTTTTATAGAGGAGTCTGAGATACTTTGGATAAGACAGGTCTTATTTGCAATCACTTCAGTATTTAGTTGAGGAGATCATGTAAAAGGACCTATGAACGGTTTTAACTCTTGATTTTTTCATCTTTTAGTCTACTCAGTGCTTTGTAGAATAGTTAAAATTCTTCCGGTGTTGCGTTTATCGCTTGACCGTTGTCGAAGTCTTGAACTGAAACTGATGTTTTGATTTGTAAATTAGCTCTTGTCGTTGAACTGATGTTGAACTGATTGTCTTCATTGAGAATTCATATCTGGATCGCAATTGAATCCCTTGAGATCATCCATTAAATTGGACTTTTTTTCTTAGCCTTATTTTAGTGAAAATCATTAACGCGTTGACCGACGTCAATCTTTACTGTAACACGTTAATCAGCGTTAACACAGTTTATACTTGTGCGTTTACTGGAGTCTATAAAGTTTAAGCTCTTAAGGCATTGGAGCATGGCGGTCCCGAGTGTCGAGGTTGCAGGACCAAATTTTCAAGTTGGTTCCTCTGTAAGTATGGATTTTATCCTGAGTTTGTCGGATACTAAAGTCACAAGGCTAACTAATGAAGCTGGTGAGTCAGTGACTATCGTATTTATAGGATTTTTGACAAACCTTCAGCTATCAACGGATTTGATAAATCTTTATTGACTACTGTTTGAATCGGACAAACATGCAGATTGTTTAAGTCCGTTCTGCATGTAACGTTGTGCTAAGAGAATAAACTCTCTTAGACTTGGTACTATGATATTGAATGCATAGGCTTTATTATTTATACGGGAACGTACTACCCGACGACGTGTGTTAGACGTAAACTTATCTCTAATAAGGGATTGAGATAATGTCCCCCACGTATAAAATAAGAATTTAAAAATGTTGATGTGTTACGTCTTTTTGGTAAAAAGATGAACCCGACACTGGAGAGGAAGAATTTTATATTCTATCTTCTTGTTTCTTTTTTGTTGGTAGAGATGAATCCGAATATGGAGAGGAAGAATTTTATATTCTATCTCCTGGTGCAAAAGAAACTCAAAGTGAGATCTCCACTTCAAGAATCTGAAGGGTGAAACTAAGAGTGGGATATTCACTCTGAGAATCGAGAAGATTTAGATAACCCTAACTGTTAAAAGGTTTAATTATCCAATCCAAAAGTGGATTTCTCATTTATTGAGATGGAATTCTAACTTTCGTCCTAATTGTTTAAATGTTTGACTGAGTGGGGAATGTGTAGACCTCTCGTTCATAGAAGGAATCGAGAGGAGATTTTTGTTTTGGACCTAATTATTTAAAGGTTTGACCAAATTATAATTTGAGATGATCCTAACTGTTTAAAGATTTGATCGTTCAATTTGTGGACCTCTCGTTCATGGAAGGAATCGAGAGGGGATTTTGGTTTCAGTCCTAACTATTTAAAGGTTTGACCAAATGAGAATTTGAGACGATCCTAACTGTTTAAAGGTTTGATCGTTCAATTTGTGGACCTCTCGTTCATGGAAGGAATCGAGAGGGGATTTTGATTTTGCTCCTAACTGTTTAAATGTTTGATCAAATGGGAGTTTGAGACGATCCTAGCTGTTAAAAGGTTTGATCATTCAATTTATGGACTTCTCGTTCATGGAAGGAATTGAGAAGAGATTTTGACTTTGGCCCTAACTGTTTAAATGTTTGACCAAATAGGATTTGAGACGATCCTAACTGTTAAAATATTTGATCGTTCAATTTATGAACCTCTCGTTCATAGGAGAAATCGAGAGGAGATTTTGGTTTTGATCCTAACTGTTTAAAGATTTGACCAAATGGGAGTTTGAGACGATTCTAACTGTTAAAAGGTTTGATCGTTCAATTTGTGGACCTCTCGTTCATGAAAAGCATTGAGAGGGGATTTTGGCTTTGATCCTAACTGTTTAAAAGTTTGACTAAGCAAACAGAGGGAGTGGGTGTACAAATAACAGTAGGAATGTAGATTTGCACAAATCACTCAGAAGAGGTTTTTGGTGACCAGTGACAAGACTTTAACGTGAAAAGGGGTTTGCCAATTGTCATGGATTGAAATGTTGGGTGGTGTGTCAGAGCTTAACAGTGGGAGTGTTAAAGGCTCGGACACAGCGGGAGTTTGGGTGGATTTAACCACGAAGCATTTTGGTGGACCCACCATCAGTTGATTTGATCGGTGAGGAATTTTATGGTGGATGACTGTGAATCATCAAGCACTCGACAATTAGACCGTAGAAGTTTCGTGAGAAAAGACTGACCCGATGAGGTCATTGAATCCCATCTTAACAAAAGAGTGCTTGGAAAGTCATAGTGAGAGTTGGCGAAATTAATCCCGACAATTGAAACTAATCAATAATCGGATGAAGAAAAAGCAAATGGGACATGCTTCATCCTTGAAGGACTTCAGAGTTTCGTGAAGGAAGATTGACTTGATAAAGTCATTGAATCTCATCTCAATGAAAGAGTGCTCTGAAAATTACAGTGGGAGGGTTTTAATCATTTTGGACATGATTAAATAGCCACAGCGGGAGGTTCTTAATCATTTTTATTATGATTAAGAGTGGATTATTCAGATGATTGGTTTTCACCTTGAATAATCAATTAGTTTCGGGTTATCCTTAAGAATACCATATATAGCATTTTCCAGGAACTTCCTGTTAAATAGGTTACCCTGAATGTACTAGGAATAGTATTTTTTCAGGAACTTCTCGTTTGTGATCAATGTTGTTCTTGATACAGAATCAGGTCTTGGTTCCTGCCTTTGTATTCAGTCATGATAACCTCGTATCCACCCTCAGCTTTTAGGTGAACCTGAGTCTATTCGTATTTGGCTACATTATTAGAGCGCGCAATTTAAGGAAGCAGTTTTTTAACCCTCTTATATCAGTCGGAGGTTCGGGAAACAGTTTATACTCGTATACCCTTTGGAGTGCATGGAGAAGCAGTTTATACTCGTATACTCTTCGGAGTCTCATGGAGAAGTAGTTTATACTCGTATACTCTTTGGAGTTATATGTCATCCTTATTTGGCTTGTTTTGTCGTTATGACACCGGAGTCAACTAAGGTTTGGATTTTATTTTTGAGGCCAAAGCAAAGCTTGGTGGGATGAAGAACTCTTCTGTGGTACACACAGTAGTTTGGATCCGTAATTCTCTTAGCT